CCCCCCCCCTCAAATGTTTGGAGACCTTGTGTTGTACACTCTGTTTAAGAATGAGAGACAAGCCTGGGCCAGGCAGCTCAGTTGGTAAGAGCATCATCCTAGTACGCCAAGGTTGTGGGTTCAATCCCTGGTCAGGGCACATACAAGAAGAAATTAACGAATGTATAAATAAGTGGAACAACAAATCAATGTCTCTTTCTTTCTCTCTCCCTCTCCCCCTCCCTCCTTCTTTCCCTCTCTGCCTCTGTCTAAAATCAATCAATAAATTTTTTTTTTTAAAGAATTTAAAAAGAAAGACTGAGAAAAAGAAAGCTGACTGGAAGCTTTGTGTGCGTGGGCAAGGCTTATCAACCAATGACCTTCACCGCCTGGAATGGGGTGGGTTCTAGGCAATTCATGTGATGTAGTAGTTGGAATGAGATTGGGTTGAATATAATAGAAAAACACACACCAAAATAACAGATGATTAAAAAAATAAAAGTTTCTTTTCCTCTCAGACAGGAAAAGCTCAGATCTGGTAGTCCAGGGCTTGTGTGAGGACTGCACACCACCAGGACGGTAGTCAACATCTCGCTGCACCCACCCCTCTGTTCGTGTGGTCCAGGTGGCCCCTCAACCTCTGGCGAATGTATCTTCATGACAGGCAGGCGGCAGGAAGGGGAAGGCAGAAAAAGCAAATTCCCAGTCTCTTTCCAGAATCCCATACAGTATTCTGCTTTCACATTTTGGTGAGAAACTAAACACATGGCCACATCTGGCTGTAAGCGAGGCTACTCACTGCAGTCTTTTAGATGCATAGCTACGTCAAATGAAACTGGGGCCTTATTGCAGCGAAGAGAGGGCAGAGTCTTGTTAATGTAGGCAACTGGCAGCCCCGCCACACTGAGATTTCTACAGCGGGCCTGTAAGTCTTTTTCTCTTGGGCTAGTAAGCTTCCCCAGAGGAGACTCTTCCAATTTCCCATCATTTGGATCTCCCAACCACAAAGATGGAGGGGACACCTCTGGTGCCCTGTGTCACATCCCTCAGGCACACCTCTGATTGTGGTTGCGGTGGCAGAGGAAGGATTTGTGTAACTCACCTTCCTCTGACAACATTCAGCCTTGAGCACATGCTGGAGATTCTGCTTCCTGCCCGGGGCACTGAGATGCCACCGAGCCTGACAGGCCAACACCTCAGAGCCACGCAACAGGGGGAAGGGAACAGAAAGACGAATGTTCCAGCCTTCTCCCCGCTGAGGATTTGAACAATTGATTGGTGTTCTGTAGGCTTCTCAGGGGGTCCGGATGAAACGGAGCCCAAGGCAGTTACCAGCTGCCTGTAGCAAAAACCCAGTAACACCCATTTGTATTGGCTTTTGCTCCTCTGTTTCAGTCTCCTTGTTACCTCACTCTTGCTTCCTGGGACCATGTCCCAAATAGAATAACCGCACCAAGGTCTTAGGCTTTGCTTTTGAAAAAAAAAACAAACCCTCAAACTAAGATAAAAAATAATCTTATTATTTAAATTCCCATCTTAGATTCTTACATCGCTTGTACTCACATAAAACTGTAGTGTAACAGCCAGAAAATACCATATGTTGTCAAGAAAAGAACCTAAACAATGAACAGTTTTTTAATTCTTTATTATGCTTCATGTTTCTATTCGCTTTCTATGACTATGAAATACAGTTAAGGAAATAATATGCACTCAGTTCTTATCTAAAAAATGTAAAGATGAGGTTTGGACCAAGAATCTATCATGACGAGCAGGTGTTCTGAGAAGAAAAATCTTCCATCTTCGTGTCTGTACAGACTGACCTAAGTGTTAGAAGACATGATAGCCTGAAACTGAATCTATTGCTAAAAGTGAAATACATCTTCCACAGCATTCTGTACTTGCTGCATTGATACAATGGATTCTTTATATATCCCACTCTCTTTCCCTAGCACAGCACCTACAGCCTGTAGGTGACTGATCAGTCCTTGTTGAACAAGTAAACAAATGAATAAAATTATAGTGTATGCTAGTGTGTGTTTTCTCACCTTGTAAAATAAGTTGAGAATAATATGCTAACATATTTTAAGAAAATTTTTCAGGACACTGAGCATTTATAAACTATTTCATAATTTGTGAAGCAATATCTAAAAGCTTAATATCAGTGTTATAATTCTTATTGCGTTTTTAAAAAATTTTAAATCCTCACCTGAGGATAGTTTTGATTTGACAGAGAGAGAGGAACATTGATGTGAGAGAGAAACATTGATCAGTTGCCTCCAGTACGTGCCTCAACAGGGGATAGAACCCGCAACCTGGTGTGTGTCCTGATGGGGAATTGAACCCACAACACTTCTGTGCACAGATGATTCTCCAACCAACTGAGCCACACCAGCCAGGGCTGTGTTATTATTCTGACAACACAATAAATGGTTGCAAATATTATATCAAAATTTGCTATTTTTATACTTTAGATGAACTATGTGGTGGTATCTAAGAAAGTACATTAGATTACAAGTCAGAACACTTAAAATAAAATAGTTAGCTTGAATTCACTTAAGAGATAATTTTTTAATCAGAATAAAGTGCTAAATTATACTAAATAATAGTTACCTGTGGGATTTTAAAACTTTAACAGAAAAAGAAAATAGGATGTGCTAGTGATAAATTTATTTTACAATTCATATATTCATTGTGCAGTAAATTACATTACATTCTAACAACTGCAAATAAAATATTATTTTGATGTCTGGACTAGACATTGTGGCCTCACATGTCTTAAAGTTCTTAACAGAAAATGCCATTAACGAATTTATGCATCTATGCTCAATTTAACTTAATTTGGTGAGATTTATTAAATTTTGTGCCCAGCATTGTTTGTACAGTAAACCCCAGTTATCCACAGGGGATGTCCTGAGTATCTCAGGAAAAAAAGAAATAAAGAACCACAGTTCCAATGAGCCCATTTGCTTGGACTTTAGAAGGAGAGAGTGGGGAGGAAGCAGGAGATGAAGTGGTACCTGTCTTTTTTGCTGCCACCCCTCAAGGTGCCAATAATCCTTTCTGGAGGTTCCACTTTGTCATCCTGTGTTGTTTCATTTCCTTAAGTGCAGGTATACCGTATAAGCTGTCTAGGGCTACTGTGACAAAGTACCACCACTTGGTAGCTTAAAACAACAGAAATTTATTCTATCATAGTTCTGGAGACTAGAAGTCCAAAATCAAAGTGTTGGTGGGGGGAATCATGCTCTTCTCTCTGAAGGCTCTAGGGAGGGTCCTTCCTTGCTTCTTTCTAGCTTCTGGTGGTTTCCGGCAGTTTGGGACATGCAGATGCATCACCCAGATCTCACTTCTATCTTTACATGGCCTTTTGCACTCTGTGTCTATGTCTCTGCTCATGAGGACACCTCGTCCAGTATAAACTCATCTCAACTAATCACATCTGCAAAGACTCTAGTTCCAAATAAGGTACATTCAGAGATATCTGGGGTTTGGACTTAAACATGTCTTTGTGGAAGGAACACAATTCAACCCACGTGAATCAACAATGTTTCTTTCCAAGAGTGGAAAATAGCACCACATTTTCGATAGAAGCAAGGGGTACTGTCTAAGCTGTTCATAATCTTTCTAACCAAAATCCAGTGCTAAATTGCATACACCAGTACCCTTAGGATTTGTGTAAAGAGACTTAAAAATGTATAAGCATTTAAAAGTCAGATAAGCAAGTGTTTTATTATCTTTTAGGTGACAGAGGACTTAGTCTTCTCTGGTGATGGGTTCACTAATCTGAGACGGAACACGAAAGAACTAAATCAGGCTCTGGAAACAGTGGACTACACCGAAAGTATTTTCATGAGGACTGGTCCAATGAGTACAGTGATAGCAAACAGTTATTCGCTGCTGAGAAAAGTATAAGTAGGACACCTGTCATAGATATGCAAATTAGACTTCCCTTTCACATTCAGAAAACAGATGCAAACACATTTGAATTTGCTTCAGCTTTATCAACAATTAAGCCATCGAATGCTTCTGTCAACCCTAGTGACTCTGTGACCATTAAGATCGAACGCATAATATCTTGGTCCACTGAAGAAAAAGAAGAAGTCTATAAAAAAAAAAAAAAAAGATAATGTATTGAATTAGCCTGTAGAAGTAAGATTTCTGATGTTTTCAATTTAAAAGGCCCCACTCCTATCCCATGATAACATTCAAATGCAAATGTGCTTCTTAAAAAATTCAAAAGAATTAATTAGGTTTTTTTTCTACTTACTATTCTGCTGGAAAACTGCATCAATTCTACTTTGGATTCCTTCAAAAGTACTTGCTATGCTTTTGGGATAACCTGGTTCCATGGATTGTCTTTGGTTATCATATCTGATGAGAAAAAAAATGTCCTGTTTTAAGACCAATACAGTATATATATTATAATGGTTTTATTTAAATTGCATATCTTTACAAAGTGCCTTCCCACATATTTTCTCATTCAGTCTTCACAATGTCTTATTTACTAGGACTGAGAATAATTAACTTTCTTTTATTTATTTATACCTATTTATAAAATATATGGGTATCATTATTACCGAAATAAGCTTTTGATTACTGGTGCAGTGTTATTTTTAAAAAGGAGAGCTATATTTTCTAAGGCTTTTAGTTAACTGGTACATAGTGTCTCTCTCTCCCTCTCTCTCTCTCTGAATAAATGTAAATAATAAGTGTAACTTGGGCACCAGATTTTGTAGGCTATCTGGATAGCACTTGCTTGAGAATGTTAGATTTTAACTCATACATGAGAATCAGCCTAACTCTTTCTTTGCATCCCACCCTAGTGCTATATTAAGGTTTGTTCTGTGTCATGGTATAGAATCCTCAAATACCACTGTGCAGGCGTTTTAATTTTATAAAAATAAAATTATCAAAAAGCCATAGCAACATCAAGCATCTTATGAAAAAGAGTGGTTATTGAAGACCACCTATATTTTTAAAGCCTTCGAGTGCCTGATTGTTAGTGGTTTGTAGACAGGGCAAATAAACCTAGATTTCAATCTCCAGTTGAAGACATAATTGACCTTACCTCCAGAATTGGTTGTTCACAAAGAAGTATGTTTTTGTCCTGTAGGAAACAGCTGCATCGATTGCTCGGACACTGCTTGGGAAGCCGTAGTCTGATATATCCTTGGGATAACCTGGCTGAACGTCATAGCCACTCAGAACCCAGTACTGGTTGCCTGCAAATGATTCAGGTTATATGTAAGATAAAGTTCTTCCTTCCCTACAAAATAGCGTGGACCACTTTTTATTCATTGCATAAGTTGATCATAGAAGTGAAAATGGGACAAAGAGCCTTTGAAAGAGAAAGGTGATAAAGTGAAGTTCCTTGGGCCGTGGTAGCCCCAGGGGTTCCCCAGCTCCTATGAGAAAACACACACCAACTTCTCAGCCCTCACAACTGGATGTCTTATCTCACGTGACATCTATACAGGGATGAAGCTACAGCCTTGGGGAATTGTAGAATATTATATCTGGGGTCAGAGCGGAGGAACACTAAAGTTTTTCTCATTTTATAGCTGAGAAACCTGAGGCCCGAGGAGGGTGCAACCTGCTCAAACTTACACAGCAGTTAGTGGCAGAGATGGGCTCCAACCCAGGTCTCTAGACAGAAGCCTGGCCAGCATAACACTCTCTCACTGGCTCACCCCTCTGAACCTGGGCAGGACCACAAAGAAGTTCTTTCCCCCTCCCTTCAGGCAGAACTAAAATGAAATGAAGCCCTAGGCCTTACCTTTAAATAGGTAAACTAGGTCCCTGTCAGAATCCTCGAAAGCAGCCTGTATACCGCTCGGCAGGGATGGCCAGAATAGAGAAATAAAATTGAGTTCGACTCTTTGTAGCTGAGGGTGCCTTCTCCAGAAGAATCTAATGGAACACAAGGGAGAGAACCACACACACTGTAGTGCACGTGGGCAGCTTGTGGGAGTCTTGGGCTAGCACTGGCCCCTAGAAGATTCCTTGGCGGATATGACAGTCTAATAAAAGCAAAGTTCCTAGCGCAGTGACGGACATGCCACCAGTGTTTTATTGTGATATTATCCGTCTGGTGAGTACTTTATAGTTTTCGGAGGGGCTCACAGAGTGACCTTATTTGATTATATTTTGCACTGTCCCCTCCTCACACATGAAGTCTTATTTTAGTCTCTTTCANTATTTGATTATATTTTGCACTGTCCCCTCCTCACACATTAAGTCTTATTTTAGTCTCTTTCATTATTGTTCTTACAAAATGATGGGAATATTTAGAATATTCCAGCAAAGCGATTCAAGTACTCTCAGCCTGAGATTACATAACCACAAAATAGCCAAGGGGAAGTAGAAAAATTCAATCACTTGGACAATTGGCCCCACAGCTTAAGTGATAGTTTCCATTTACTTGATTGGATTGGGTGACTTGAATAACTTTTTGGTGTTGGACAAACCTAGCTATGGAGTTCCCAAGCAGCTAGAGCCCGTGTCTATTTACATCACCATAAGCGTCCGAATGTTCATAAATGTTTAGTTTTCTTTTCCTGGATGTTTTGAGTTGCTCAGAAACCACTAGACATTCTAATGAGATGCCTATGTGTAGAAGTCAAAGGAGAAGCTGAGTAACGTGTAATATGTGACTTAATTAAAATCCAGTTTAGAGTTATGCCAGCAAAAGCAGCCACAGGAAGGAACAGTTTGATCTTATACTTGTCTTTAAAGAAAAGTATTTCTCCACGAAGTGTGGTGATAGCATCAAATGTCAGACGAGGGTCACAGGCTGTGGGTGTGCTTGGTCCTGTTGGTTGGACGGGGTTGTCTGAAGGTCCTGAAAAATAAAGGGCTTTTAGTAAGCACAAGTCCAGTGTGATTCTTTCTTGCATTTCAGCACTTGTCAGGATGGTGAAGGGCCTTCACATGAAGAGAAAAATGTGACCAGACTATCACACAAGGCATCAAAGCAACCGTACATTTGTCCCTCTTAATTTTTTTTTAAAAGTAAGAGTAATGGCGATTTTCAGAGACAGGTCGTGGTTAAACTGTGAAGTAAAGACATTTGAATTCTGTGCTCCCAACACCCTAATCCCACCCTTCTCTCCCCTTTTTGCTTCCTTTTATTTGCTCACTTAGTATCCAATTCCTACTTTCCCTCCAAAATCCACCTTCAGTAAAGGAACTTGTACCAGACTTTTACCCCACAGCATAAATCCAAGTCAAACTCTAGCGATATTTTTTATATGACTATTTGCATTTCGATGTGTTTTCTCATTGTAGAATGAAGGGCTGTACTAACAGTTAAGAGACCTTAAAACACTGGTGAGCAAAAGAAGGAGGTGTTTTGAGGAAGAAGGGAGTTGGGGAGTAAAGGCAGCTGGAGAAGGTCTCATCACCCCTAAAACTTCCGCTGAGATGAGAAACTCCCCCAGTTGTGGCACCCTGGCGGCCTGGCTTCGTGACCTTCCCCAGTTCCACTCCACTCCTCGCCCTCCATTCACTCCCTCCAACACTGTTGTAGAGCCACAAACCCCTTCTCTGAATTCTTGTTTTTAGTCACAGCGGCGAGGGGGCAGGAGGGCAAGAGGGAGGAGAGATGCAGCGGTCTTACCCAGACTGCTTATAACAGGGCCAAAGCTTTCTGTATCCCCCCCTGAAGTTTCAGCCATGACTTTAAAAGATGTTTCTTTCTCTCCGTATCCATTCACATCCCCGGCCTTCCCCCACAAACAATCTTAACATGTTCAATATATATCTTTTTATTAGCATGTTGAAATGCCTGTCTTTGTCTACGTGCATTTTTTAAAAAAGATATCTTTATTGATTTCAAAGAGAGGAAGGGAGAGTGAGAGAAAGAGATAGAAACATCAATGATGAGAGGGTCATCATTGGACACCCCCAGCTGGGGATCGAGGCCGCAACCCGGGCATGTGCCCTGACCGGGAATCGAACCGTGATCTCCTGGATCCTAGGTGGACGCTCAACCGCTGAGCCACGCCCGGCCAGGCTGTGCATTTTTAATTTATGTAGATTTGTATATTGTGTAATTTAATTTATACTGTGCTATGAATCATTCTGTTTCTTGTCCATGGAGCACAATGTTTTACAGACCCATCCCTGTTGTCGCCATATGTACACCCAACTCAATATGTGCTCTCGCTGCTGGACATGCTCTGTGGTGCGGGACCAACACATTTTACCAACGCATCGTCCTCCCAGCAGACTCCCAGGTGCCCTCCAATTTCTACCACCACAAACAGGGACAGCAGCGAACGTCCCTGACATGCCCAGGTCTCACCATGTGCTCCAATATTTTTCAGATGCCCTTCCTTACCATAGATGGCCTGAATGCCATTGATGTCATCTTGAGGGAGGGAGTAGGTGTTGGGTTCGTTGAAAGCGTAGTTGGGATACATCAGGGCACCAGGGTCAGAGGAGTGAGAGAGCCCCAAGGAATGGCCAAATTCATGGGCAGCAACGAGAAACAGGTTGTAATCTGAAATGCAAGCATGCGGGGTGAATGGCTCCAACAGTACCCAAGGGTGGTGGAGATAGGATCTCGAGGAATGCAGCTTCTAAGCCGAAACTGCCTGGAGAAATAGCCTTGCACTCCTGTCGCTGTCTTTTCCTCTCAGGTACCTGAAGTAACGAAGATTAGAAGGAATCAAAGTAGGAGTTACAGGCTTACATTAGGTGACTATTAACTTTGCATCACATTTTAGAATAAAAAATATCTCTCTTTATGGTGATTCCCGCATTCATGGATGTGGATCTGGTAGCAGAGCTGTCACAGGTCCCATGACTCTCAGAAGCCCTCTCCTCTCATGCCCTCACTCGCACCCCTCTCCAGTCTCTCGGGCCGTTAGTAGGGTCTCTGGAAACAGGCAGTGAGATAAGAAGTCTGCCAGGTAGCAGAGCAGCCTCACTGATCACCCAGTTCTTCCCTGGTTCCCTAGCGCCAGTTCTTCCCTGGTTCTGAGCTCTGCAAGCAGCTTCCAGAATTCTCCACCAGAAAGAGACAAACTCTGCCTCTTATTGCTCCCTTCCCTCATCTTTGAACTTCACAAGCATAGTGCCTTTCACAACTGGGAACTTAAAAACTCCCAGGGCTCATCCTTTTAATCAAATAAAGCCCAAGTTCCTTTGCCAAGTCCAGGAGCTCTCCACGTGGCTCCAGCAGACATCTGAGGACTTGGTTTCTCTTGGTTTCTGATGCGAATTGAACCCTTCCCTCCAGCCAGTCCATGTACCATCTCACAGCACACTGTACTTTTTTTTTTTTTTTAACGTGCTTGCATTATAAATCATAGCTGCAGAGTATTTTCTTTAGGCTGGGAAGCATAATATTATTTAATCCTCACAACATTTTTATCAAGTATTGTTAAAAATATTTTTATAGTAAGGAACTGAAGCCCACAGATTTTGAATATATTGTTATTAGTCTTGCAACTAATAAGCGGTGAAGCTGTAGTCAAACTCAGATATGATGGCAAGACTTGTGCTCTTACCACAATGTTCAATTTCTTGTTGATCAGGAACCTTATAAAATTCTACCCATGCTCCAAGACTTGCTTTCTCGATCATTATATCCTTTCATTTTTATTTTATTTTTTAGAATTTATGAATGCATTACAAAAAACACCTTTGAGTGACGGGGCTCAGGAGGATTTCTCACAGCACACAGCTGGAAGGGGAAATATATGAAAAAAGATGAGTGCACAGAATACTGAAGGCAGTCAGGGAAGGAGAAAGGGAGGCTGTCGGTGTTCTCAGGAGGCCTCATTTCTGGCTGAAAGACAAGATGGGGTGGCTCTGACACAGCACAGGAAGGTTTGGGGTGTGGGGAAAGGCGTTTTAGGGAGAGGAAGCAACATAAGCAAATACAGGGAAGCTGGAAAGTACGTGGTGTGATCTAGGAACAGCTGCTGTCTGTGAAATACGGAGAGGAGCCTTGAAAGATGAGGCTGGGAAACCGCCAGGAGCCTTCAGTGCCCAGGGAAGGTATGTGGACATTGTTCGGTCCATACGATGTAAGCACTGAAAGTTTTAAGCAAGAGACTAATGAAATCCCAGGGGGACTTTTCGAAGACAAACCCTGCTGCACTGTTGGGAAAAGTTAGTGGGAGCAGAGACGGGAGGCGAACAGTTCAGGCAGGAGCCTGGATCATTTCCTTCAGGTGAGAGGCGGTGACCGTCTGAACTAGCAAGTTGGGTGACAGGACTGCATAGTGGTTGAGAGTGTGCTTTATCTTTGGGTACACATGGCTCCTAGCACAAGGACCTAGGTAGAATGAACACTCACAACCTACACGGTGAGAAATTGTGGGAGGAACAAGGCCCAAGCAAAGCTAAAGGGTTTTCTTTTCTAAAGTGCTCTGTGACGTATTGTTACCCCATGGCCTTGTGAAGCACCATGCGGACTGGATGTACCTGTCTTTATCCTCAGTTCTTCTCTCAGGTGTCCCCGTGCTTCCTACTCCAAGTCTTCTGAACAGGGTGGTTTGCTACGTAGGAACATACCATTGAAAAATCTCCCTGAAGACAAAATAATCAGATGAAAAAGACTGTTGCTCTTTTTTAAACAGGACAGTTTTGTAAATGAACCCAGATATCTCTGAATTTCCAAAAATAGGACCTTTTACAAACATCATTAAATTTCAGAATATTAAGAAAAAGATATACCCTAGAGTAGAGGTCAGCAAACTTTTTCTGTAAAGGTCCAGGTAGTGAGTATTCTAAGTTTTGTGGGCCATGAGGTTTCTGTTGCAACTACTCAGCTCTGCCCTTGCAACAGGAAAACAGCCACAGATGATACATGAACAAGTAAGTGTGGTCCTGTACATTTAAAACCGTGTTCACACAAACAGGGCCCATGATCTATAGCTTTCTGATTTCTGCCCTAGGAAACAAGATCAGTAATTAGCTTCAGGATTTTGTTTTGTTTTTTGGTAATCCTCACTCAAAGATGTATTTTTCATTGATTTTTATAGGGAGTGGAAGGGAAAAAGAGGGAGGGGGGAGAGAGAGAGAGAAACATCAGTGTGAGAGAGACACATCAATGGTTGCCTCCCACACGTGCCCCACTGGGGTGGGATTGAACCTGCTACTCAGGTACGTGCCCTTGGGTAATATAACCTCTGACTCTTTGGTACCCAGGCCAGCACTCTAACCACTGAACAACACCAACCAGAGCAGGATATATATATTTTAACCTAAATCAAGTTAGTATCTTGAGGTAGCAAAAATTTTAAATGGTCAGTTTGTGTGAGTTTGAAGTGTTACAATAACCTGGATGTGTGCGTGAGTGTNAAGTTAGTATCTTGAGGTAGCAAAAATTTTAAATGGTCAGTTTGTGTGAGCTTGAAGTGTTACAATAACCTGGATGTGTGCGTGCGTGTGTGTGTGTGTGTGTGTTGTCAGGAGCAAATTCCAATGTGGCAAATGTTTATTCAGAAGCCCTGTGTTGACCCAACCTTGGTAAACTTACTTTCAGAGGTTTTGGTCCATGTTTCTTCTGCATCAAAATGAGCATCTCCTCCAATACCTTGGCCTGGCTGAAAGGCATGAGCAAGGATTCCATTGGGCCCATCAAATGGAGAATTGTCACCATGAGCTGAAATAAAACAGTTTGTGTTAGGTCTTTGCCAAATCTCATGTCAGCCAGGGAAAATAAAATTGAGCATGACCGCTTCGAGCCTACCTCTTTGGACAAAAGAGATTTCGATGTCCGCCTTTCCCTGCGAGACCATAGTGAAGCTCAGGGGCGATGGGTCACTCCAGACCTGAAAGGCCTTCTGAATGGCTGCTTCCACGTCAGTCTTTGACAGTTGTGGGGTGTAGCTAATAATCCTTGAGAACGAGAAGGCATGTGAAGAGCTCATTACTGTTTAGCACAGTGCTCGGTCGGTAGATCACATTTCCCCATTTTGGNGTCTTTGACAGTTGTGGGGTGTAGCTAATAATCCTTGAGAACGAGAAGGCGTGTGAAGAGCTCATTACTGTTTAGCACAGTGCTCGATCTAGTGAGTTGCATGCAGGATGGGCTACCACTGGGGAGGCTCTGAGGAGGGAGTGCCAGACTCAGATGACAGACACCGGTTCTGGACAAGTTATTACACCTCTTTAAATTTAGTTTCCCTATTTCTAAACAGAGGAGAATCAAATAGTATCTCCCTCATAGGGGTGTTGTGGGGGATTCAATATGTGTAAAGCATTTAGTTCACCACTTGGCAAATAGTAACATTTGACAAATCTTGGGTATTATTATTATCATCACCACCATCATCATCATCATCATTATTAGATGCATGGAAGGTGGGGCCCGTTTCTCTCCAGCAATGATTAAGCCTTTTTGGATCCTACCATGAGTTCTTAGAGAGCCAGTCTAACACTGACAGTCCTCTGTAGATTATTAGAGGAGCAAGTAGAAACCGGTAGGCTTTGGCGTGAAGAGACCTTTCCCCTTCTCTCTCACACTCATTCGTGAGCATCTGAGCTCTGCAAGGGCAAGGGTATTTATTTACTTGCCTCGGGTGTATCTCAAGTCCTAGAACAACGCCTGTCATATTAGAAATGCTCAATAACACCGGCCGGAGAATGCATTTTGAAGCCCTAGGAATATCACCTGTAGGTGAGGTTCTTGTGCTGCCACCTGGGGTATCCCGGAGTCAAGGAGAAGTCACTAATGTCGGGCACTCCACAGCGAGGCCTCTGCATCATCTCCAGAGTCTCCTCGTTGGGCTTCCCCGTCACGGCCAACCCGAAGAATCGCTGCATTTCTTTAAGCTTTTCAACAACCATGCTCGTGCTGTTCTTCCTTTTAGACTGGAACAGGTCCTTTGGTAACTGGTAGAAGTTCTCTAGGTAATTCTGGACAGAGACAAACCTGTGAGGGAACGTGCTCGGAGACTGCCTGCAGTTCTCTGGGCATTTGGCATCGTTCCTTTTAAGTTACTGCAGATTCATAACAATCTCTTAACCTGATAGTCACAGAAACAAAAAACACAAATCTGTAGGCTGACTTTCAGAGAACAGTGTCTGTTGGAAAGCACAGCCCCTCAGTCAGTGCTCCTATTAATGTTTATACAAAAAATAGGTTTTTCATAAGGGATGGGGTCCAGGTCCTCATGCAAAATGCAAGACTACAACCAGGAGACTGCCTGCTGATTTTTACACAAAAAAATAGCACTAGTATTTATTGACTTCTTGAGGTATTAATTGTGTCAATTCAGATTCTCTCTTAATCTTTTTTTCACGACTGTAGAGGGGGTTTACTCCTGCTCATTGAGAAATGGAGGTGCACAAGATAATGAAACGAAATGAAATGAAATGAAATGAAATGTAAAAAAGAAATAAAATTTTAAAAAAAGAAGTGGAGGCTCAGAGAAGGAAGGAACTTGCCAACATGACAATTCAGGTCCCAACTCATCATATCCTTCTCAAGTGAGAACTGACGATTTCAAAAAAGAAATCCAAATAAGTTTTGGGGCAAGAGCAGCCTCACTGACATTAGCATTTTATCCAGCACAGTAACTCTTTTAGAGGGGCCAACTCTCATCGGGAAGTAAAGGTTCTGAGGGGTGATCAGCCAGTTCTAAGGCTTCTTTCTTTCACCTTAAGCAGACTGGGAATACCTGGCACTTTGCAAGGGACAGAGGACAGGCCACTTTGGAGCTATCACAAGCTATGGTATCAGATTGATTTGGGTTCGAATCTTTTGCCACAAATTGACTGTGAGTCCTTGGACATATCACTTAACTGACTTAGGAGTCACTTTGGTCTCTCAGGTGGAAATAATAGTACCCCTTTCACAAGGCTGTCGTGAGGATGAAATGAGATAATATTTCTGAAATATTTAGCAGAGTGCCTGATGCAGAGTTACTATTACCATTATAAGAGATATTTTTTTTTAAGTAAAAAAAGAAAAGATACAGAAACAAGAACAACACTTTTCTAAAACTGTAATGCTGAGAAACTGTGCATGATGAATTTGTGATGGCATTTTCTTGTGTGTCTTAAAAATTTGGCCTGACATTTGTACTGTGACACAAAAGAAAAAAAGCTATTGGTTCTGCTTTCATAGTGCTTCCGAGAGTTTATAAACAGCTCCATAATCTAGCGTAAGGAAATCTGCTTACACTATAAACTGATTTTATTTCCTTATAATTTCCCATCCTCAGGGTCTCTTGTACACCTGGGATTTTGGGCTGCAAGGACAAGTCATATGGAAGGCACCAGACATGTAGTAACTGAGTTGCAGACAGGCTGGAAGGGGAAATCTTAGGTAAGAAAAGAAAACCATTTGTTTTGTAATTAAAACCATTCCTTCTGAAAAGTTTCCCCAGCTGGAGGCAGCTGGGCGGCAGTGTTTTGCCAGGATTTGAAGAGCCCAGCTTGTTTTCATGCCTGGCTTTTAGAGGATCCAGCTTGGAACCCTCCAAATCACTGAAATAGGACGTTCAAGCTCAGACAAATCAGCCACATAATTTCTTCCAGGCTGTTTTAACTAAAAAGAGAAAACGACCCATACAATTTCCTAATTACCAGCAAATCAACCACCCACCTGATTATTACTTTACCTGAACAACTTCTACACTCTTCTCTTCTTTGGTGTGAGAAGATACTGGAAAGGCCTTGGAAAGCTGCATGTGGATTAACAGCAGAAGTGGAAGCATCTTCAGACTGGACATGGCCTTTCCTCCAAACTCCACCTCCCCTGGCCTTCCTCTCTGGGTAGAGTCCTTCGTCTGGGTAGAGTCCTTCCCCTGGTGGGTGCCCAGACTTTCATGGCATCATGTATGCTCTCTTTTGGTCCTTTATAAAGCTGTGTCTTAAATGATTGCCTCATCCAGGAATATGAAGAAACACAGGTTAACTACACTCTGACAATTTTGCAATGTTAGGATGTGATTTAGTACGCCCCAATGGAGGAGTCTTTCAACAGCAAAACAGTGCAAGTTGCTTCTCTTTGCTCTTGGAGTTTTTAGTTAGATATGTACTTTTGCAAAATTATCTGGTCAAGGAGTAGAAACTAATCGTGAAGTTATGAACAGCAACTGTCTATAGTTATACTTTCTGGTATGGAAGATGCTGAAGCTGTGCTAATTTATACAGGGGAATATTGTTAGCGGTAGGTAACTTGGGACGAAGGAGCCCAATTCAAGAGCCTCTGCACTTTCCACCCTTGCTGTGTGTGAGGGGAGTTTTGTCACAAAGCAGGATTTGTATGGGGGTCTTGGAGCAGCTCTGGAGGATGTGGTTTGGGCATCAGTGTAGTAGAAAATCCCCAATCTGCAAGCTGGATTTTCCATAGGAAAGACAAAGAAAGCAATACTGATGATGATGATAATCGACATTTGCTGGATATTTATTATGTCCCGGACATACCTGCTGTACCTACACCACCTCAGGTCATCCTCATACGGCCCTGGGAGGGAGATGCTATTATCATCGCGTTTTGCAGAGGAACTCAAATCAGAAGTGAGTTGACTTGTATAAGTCACATGCAAAGACTGCGGAGGAGCCAGGATTCAATCCCAGGTGGAAATTTTAGGGAGAATGAGCAGGCCGCTACTACATCAGGCTGTTTTATGGTCTCTACTCGGGTCCCCGGCTGCCCGTAATAGAGCAGTAGCTCCAGGCCAGCAACAACTGGGATACCCTGGCCTGTGNCTGCCCGTAATAGAGCAGTAGCTCCAGGCCAGCAACAACTGGGATACCCTGGCTTGTGCTCAGGGAGGAGACAAGTGAGCGGGAGAATGAGATGTCTTATATTCCCCCGGAAAATGATACACGTGAGGATTTGCAGACAATGTGGTTACATAGTGGGATGCATTGGTGAGGGGCCCCTGGGCATGCTTTTCAAATTATGTCGCCTCGTCCCACTAATGCTAACTCTACGTGCATATAGATTATATGATCTTACTATACAGTTCTTTCATGTATGCATTTACATATATTTATATATATATTCTAAAGGGAATTCTTTATGTATTCTTGTGTATAAATATATATATCAACATGTATGATGTATAATGTGTTAATATGTAAATGTTTTTGGTTGAGATGTTATGATAAGTAGTTCAGCTCCCTCCAGGTGTTTCTTAGAATCCTCGTAAACAATCCAAGGAAATTTGTCCTGGGTTAGAACATATCTGGACAGCAGATTAATGTTCACCATGTAGATTCCTGCGTTCACTCAATGTACATTTCCTGCCACCTACCATATGCCAGGCACTGTGATGGGTAATAGGTTATTGGAGATAAGTTAAGAGCGGTTTGGATGAAATGCTGTGAGAGTCTGGAGGAAAGAACGAGGGTGTTGGGGGGAGGAGGGAGTAGAATCAAGGGAGGCTTCATGATGGAGGTAGAATTTGAACTGGACCTTGAAGGAGAAGTAGATTGTGGACGTGTAGAGATGTGATGACCCATTCCCTGCATACANAAGTTAAGAGCGGTTTGGATGAAATGCTGTGAGAGTCTGGAGGAAAGAACCAGGGTGTTGGGGGGAAGAGGGAGTGGAATCAAGGGAGACTTCATGATGGAGGTAGAATTTGAACTTGAAGGGAAAGTAGATTGTGGACGTGTAGAGATGTGATGACCCATTCCCTGCATACATGTGGTAGCTCCCCCACCCCCACCCCAAGCTGTTCAAGATGTTCTAGGCCATGATCATGTTAACTCTCCCTGGGTGCACTTAGTCATGAGGCGGCTTCCTCCACATTAGGTCTTCAGTGAAGAAAACCTTTTCTTACTGAATAAAAATGCCTTCACATTGGTCTACTCTATGTTGAGTTATTTTGATGCACTGATTTGTTTATAAGATTTATAAATGTATTTTCTTCTGAACATAACGGTAAGTGATTTAGATAAGAATTCAACACTTTGGTGAATNCCTGGGTGCACATCTTAGTCATGAGGCGGCTTCCTCCACATTAGGTCTTCAGTGAAGAAAACCTTTTCTTACTGCCTTCACATTGGTCTACTCTATGTTGAGTTATTTTGATGCACTGATTTGTTTATAAGATTTATAAATGTATTTTCTTCTAAACATAACAGTGATTTAGATAAGAATTCAACACTTTGGTGAACTCAGTTCTCTGGCATATGTATACATGTTGTGTTAAAAACAGAATTGTTGAATCTGGGTCCCTGATAACAGGTCCAGCCCCAGTGGTGTGGTGGAGAAGGCCTTCAGCTTCTGCTTTCTGAAGGCTTTCCTCACTCCTGACCATCACCTGCCTGCATGTGTCTGTGCCTTACCCCTTCTGATGCCTGGAACTCAGAGTTCTCTTAGGCCCTCTCCTGGAAACCCTGCATCTGGGAAAGGGTCAGCTATCAGTCATTTACACCTTAGTGTAAACTTAGGGGCTATTTCCTTTTAAGTCAATTTCTTTTTTTCNTGGAAACCCTGCATCTGGGAAAGGGTCAGCTATCAGTCATTTACACCTTAATGTAAACTTAGAGCCTATTTCCTTTTAAGTCCATTTCTTACTGGGACAAATCAAACAAGCAAACAACTTAAAAAACAAAGCATTGTTTCCTGNCTTAGTGTAAACTTAGGGGCTATTTCCTTTTAAGTCAATTTCTTTTTTTCTTTTTTTTTAAAAATACATCTTTATTGATTTCAGAGAGAGGAAAGGAGAGGAGAGAGAGAGATAGAAACATCAATGATGAGAGAGTCATTGATTGGCTGCAGCCCGCAACCCGGACATGTGCCCTGACCGGGAATCGAACCCTGATCGCCTGGATCCTAGGTCCACGCTCAACCGCTGAGCCACGCCTGGCCGGGCTTAAGTCAATTTCTTACTGGGGAAAAAAAAAAAGCAAACAACTTAAAAAACAAACCAAAGCATTGTTTCCTANTTACTGGGACAAATCAAACAAGCAAACAACTTAAAAAACAAAGCATTGTTTCCTGTAAGTTTCAGAGCAAGTAGGAAGATGAGGAAAATTTAGTTTCGGCCCTGGCCTGGTGGCTCAGTTGGTTGCAGTGTCATCCCGTATACCAAAAGGTTGTGGGTTTGATTCCCAGTCAGGGCACATACCTACGCTGAAGGTTCGATCCCTGATCGGGGAGAGTACCAGAAGCAACTGATCAATGTTTCCTTCTCTCCCTCCTCCTCCTCTCTCTCTAAAAAATAAAGAAAGTTTATTTTGGGGGCAGAGACAACACAATGCAAGACAATGGATGATCTTTCTGTCTCACTAATGCCACCCCCTGGTGGGCTGGCCCACAGAGGAGATAAAAAGTTGTATTTTTATGACTCGGTTTTGCTTTTTAGGTCTAAAGAGATAAACTGGTTGCATAGATACAGTCTATCTTCTTTGTAACTAAAAAAATGGGCCCAGCCAGCTGGGTTGGGCAGAGGTAGCTGGGAAAGCTGCCTGGAGGTGTTCATGTGTGCCTGGATCTTGAAGGATGAGTAGAGTCCCAATGGGGAATGTGATCCCAAAGAGGACATAGCAGGTATCAAGCTCAGACGTATACCCAGTGAAGCACATGGCTAATTTGATTCATATAAGCCAAGGCAAAATGTCCTTTGCATTAGGCATTTTTTGAGCTTTGATGATCAGGATGGATAGCTACACCCTTTGATCAAGTTAATAGGATAATTGTTGGGGTCAGTTATGGTGAAAGGTAAAGAACATTGGACTTGAAATCATACTACTGAGTTCAAATTGTAGTCCTGCCACTTCCTGTTTATGCAGCTTTTAGCAAATCATTTCCATCTTCTGAGCCTCAACTTGCACTTCTGTTAAACTGGTACATTAGCATTTCCCTTGTACAACACTCAGGATTAGATGAGGTGGCGAATGTGAGAGCTCTGTGCGAGCCCTCCAGTGTGGTGTCCTCTTTGCACTGCGAATGCGATGAAGCGATGGCCGTGCTAGTTCATGTGTCCATTCCGTGAACCGANGCACTGTGAATGCGATGAAGCGATGGCCGTGCTAGTTCGTGTGTCCATTCCGTGAACCGGGTTAGCAATGTTGAAAAGGTCCTCTCTTCCAGAAGGAGAAGTGCTTCAAAGTTAAGCCACAGAGTGATGAAGTAATTTCTATACAGTTTCCTTCAGCATCCAGTGCTCGGTGCAGCCAGGGAAGAATATGCGTGTAACTGATAGGCCCTTTGCACAGAGTAGAAAGGGCTACGTTGAAGTCACACAAACCAGCACGAACCAAACACTGCGCTAAGCTGGCAGTCTTTACAAGCACGTGAGGAACCCACGGTGCATTATTAGTGCCTGCACTCCATAGGAGTCTGTCTTACAGTAGCAGGAGTGAAGCTCACATCTGTATTTTTAATACAGATTCTGATGTAGAACTTGGGACTTCACTCCTGCTACTGAGTCAGAATCTCTGGGGAGGGCCCCAGTCATATGCAGTTTTAGAGAACATCCCAGAGGACTCTGAGAATGAGTTAAGAACCTTTGTGGTAAGAGAAAATAGAGAACATATCACAAGAGAGGTGAACATNGAACTTGGGACTTCACTCCTGCTACTGAGTCAGAATCTCTGGGGAGGGCCCCAGTCATATGCAGTTTTAGAGAACATCCCAGAGGACTCTGAGAATGAGTTAAGAACCTTTGTGGTAAGAGAAAATAGAGAACATACCACAAGAGAGGTGAACATCACAGCTTTAAGAGTTAAAAGAAGGAATAATCATATCCTACTGGGGAGATCAGCAAAGGCGTCGTAG